TAGTTTTACACATTTTAGTCTCTCCTTAGTTAAACAGAACAAGTACATAATTCATAGTAAATTAGGTATATTTATTAAGTACTAATGTATGTAACTATAATAAACTGTTTTCCAAGCTTATATGTTGAGTTTTAAAGGAATGAAAATTCAAATATTAAGAAAACATGAAAAACAATGTATTTTCACTATAACTCAGTCAAATCTTGCTCAAATTTAATAATTAAAGTGTCTATTTGAAGTATATTTAAAAAACATAAATTTACATTAAATAATCACTGAATTCTGTACAGAATTGAGTGAGAAATAACTATTTTTTTGTTTTGTTTACTTTTGTAACAAAAAATAATGAATTATCAAGTATGACAATACTTATAAAAAAGACAGTAATAGTATTACTATCATTTTTATAAATATTGTTATACATACAATTAGTCTTAACTTTCTGTATCTGAACCCTGAGTCTTACAGCTTTTTTTAGAACAACCCTGACTAGCCACTTACATAATACTTGTATACTACTTTACAGACTAAGAAGTTAGGAGAGGGTTTGGAGGGGCTCTGCCTACCCAATTAGGTTTAGGTTCAGTTTAGATTGTTAGATTTAGGTGTTGAGTTGAGTGTTAGTTAGGCTTGGAGGAAGGGAATATATATTTTCTTAGAAAAATAATATTATTTTGACTTAGTAAAATTCAAGTTGATTTGTGAGTGGCTAGTTGGAGCTAACCTAAAAAGAGTTGTAGGACTCAGGGTTTAAATGTAAAAATAATACAATTATGTATAATTTGTAATTTTTGTTATACTAAATATACTCAAATACAAAATCTATTATAACTCAACTAATACTTAACCAAATTATATGATTTAAGTTGTAAAAATTATACTTTTAAAGTGTCTTTCATATTCTAGAAAAAATAAAGTAAAATGAGTAAAATTTGAGTAAGATACAATACAATTTGTGAGTTTTCCCTATATTTCATGTATATAAGTTTTCCTAGCCCTAAAACTAATTATACAATACTATAAACTAGTTTAAATGAAGAATATAACTTTAATGTTAATTTACATATTGAATCCTAACTAGGATACAGAATACACATATAAGTATAATATATATTTAAGTTTACTAAAATTGAGTATTTTCCTCCAACCTCTCTACACTCAGGGAAAGTTCTTCTGAGTATTATTCATGTTTGTAAATTCATTCCAAATAAATTAAACTAGTTTCAAACAGTTTTAATAGACTTAGTATGGATTTCTAATCTAAATGAAGTAGAAAGTCATTATTCTATATACTACTTTAATAGTACTTCTCTAACTTATATAACTTTACTATAACTTATAAAAGTACTTATATATAATATATTTTGTTTATAATAAATTTACAAACATAAATAATACTTAGAAGAACTTTCTCTGAGTGTAGAGAGGTTAGGGGAAAATGCTCAATTTTAACAAACTTAAATATGTATTATACTTATATGTGTATTCTGTATCCTAGTTAGGATTCAATATGTAAATTAACATTAAAGTTATATTCTTCATTTAGACCAGTTTATAGTATTGTACAATCAGTTTTAGAACCAGGAAAACTTATATACATGAAATATAGGGAAAACTCACAAATTGTGTTGTATCTTACTCAAATTTTACTCATTTTACTTTATTTTTTCTGGAATATGAAAGACACTTTAAAAGTATAATTTTTACAACTTAGATCATGTAATTTGGTTAAGTATTAGTTGAGTTATGATAGATTTTGTATTTGAGTGTACTTAGTGTGACGAAAATCACGAATCGCGCGTGTGACAATATTTATGAAAACGACAGTAACAACCGTGGGAGAATGACAGTACGATCATTTACACGTGGGACAAAGAGTTATATTTTAATATTGTTGTTAGGCACGTTTTTGTGAACGTGTACAGTATACAATTGTCCTGGTCCCCTGTTTTCTTATTAGTTCTCGAGTTTCTTATTTTATTGCGCTCGGCGGGTTGAGAGCCCGGTCGGCTTCACTATGCATCCGAATTTTTCGGTAATGATGGACTCCGTCGCTGACGCTTTGATATCTCCGACACAGGAACCTTCGTCTCGATCATACACATAAATTGTAAGTTCGTCACGAAAGAAAACGCCGCTGAATCACTCACCCACTCCAATCGTCAGGTTCAAACGATCCAGCAGTCCGCCATTCAGCCAGTCACTCAATCATCAAACAAATAAACGAGCTAAATGTCCTCCAACAAACCTGTTATGACGTTGGCTTTTGAGCCACCTCTGCCGACAACTTCAAATGAGTTGATTGTTGCTTTTCCCGCGGAACACGTTATGCAACTAACGCTCAATCGTCCAGCTGCACGGAATGCAATGTCGACGACACTTGAGGAGGACATTGGACGAACTCTTGCTTGGTTTGATGCCCAGCCCAGTCTTTGGTGAGTACTTTGTTATTTCCTTTTTAACGAATATTGTTAGACGGGTGTTGGCACCTCAAACATGAAGAATCGACTTTCAGTCACGTTTGTTTTATGTATATCTGCGATCGCGGGATTCGCGTTTTCTTTGCAAATTGTACTGTGCTGCGCAAAGGAACACGATGTCGCATAGACATTATCAATATTCTCTGACGGGCTCTAAAGAAAAAGAAACTCCCAGAGTTTATCCCTTGACATGTCACGACTAGATCGTGTTAATGCTCACCACAGTTCCATGACGATACATTGTCCTATAAATTTGCTTACTATTAGTTCACCGCACAGTTATTCTTTCATATAATGTAAAGCTGAATACCTTTTCTTTCTACTATCTAGGGTTGCGATTATTACAGGCAACGGCCGTGTCTTTTGTGCAGGTGTCGACCTAAAGGCGTGAGTTCGACTCGTTTCTTCTCCCGTCTTCCGACTTGCACGAAATGGTTTAATTCCGTTTTGGCATGGCTTCGATGACTTCGATGACCTGTCACGGAGCGCCCGCCGAGGTCACCTCTAAATGTTCGGGAACAAAAAGATGTTGCGAAGCATGAACAGCACGGCGAACTTCATGTGCGATTTTGTGAACTGCTTTACTGACTTAGGCTTCCCTCCTTCTTATCGCTGTCTCTGTGGGTCATGGAGTTTGGCGCTATGACGGTCTATTGCGTACGAATTTCCCCAACACACAACTGTGGCTTTGGTGCCCTTTACGCATGGGTGCTGGGTGCATGCATGCTGTCGGACCCTCATTCTGTACCACATTGCGGTGACTCGGCCTTGCTATATGTGCCGTTTGTACCGATCCGTATATTTGGCCATGATAACAATTTCCGGCACAACATGTGCTCGCGCCACCTGCCGCCTGCTCTCATCTATGATCCTCACATTCAAACATTATCATCGCACATTTCACACAACACGGGTATAATTCTTTCGTGGATACTGTGCTGCATACACTGCTCGTGTATCACAATCATGATTAACTAAATCATCCTTGACTTCTTGAAATCTCCTGGAACCTGATGGGTCGACGGGGACTTGCATCGCACAACTGATGTACAACATTCTCGCTTTGATCCTTACGTTAGTTGGGAGAAGGAGACGTCCGATTCCGATGTAAAAACGAATCGACACAGCCCTGAAGGGATCGTAGCTTTGACTCATGGATTCGGAGGCCTTTTGCGTCGCACGGCCTCATGCAAGCCTCTCATCGCCGCGGTAGTCGGCGGCGCTTTCGGCGGTGGGGTAGAGATGCTTTTGAATTGCGACCTCGTGATCGCAGCGGACGATGCTACCTTTGGACTGCCAGAGGTCAAGGTTGGCGTAGTCCCTGCTGCTGGGGGTACGTAATGCTTCTTTCTGACTTTTGTCACGCGCCTTCTACATATTTCCGATGTTGGAGTCCGGAGTTCATATCTTTTCTCGTACTTTGTTACTACTTTTTTCCTTCTTACTTACCGCTTGCATGTTATATGCTCCAGACTGATTTATAGCTCCGCGGTGATTGCTTAAGGCATGATCACAGAAGCGTGTCAAATTTGTCTGAAGAAGAACAGTTCAACAACTTCGTTCGTTTGACCCCTTAATCCTGGCCTTCTGTATTTTCGAAACCGCAATCTTCACGAACACTGATTGTCCCTTCGTCTTTATGTAGGCATTCCGCGGCTCGTTGCTACAGCTGGTCGTCGGGTGAGTTGTTTTACTATATTGATGCATGTCACTCTGAACACTAGAATTCGCTACAACATTTGCATATCCGTTTTTGTCCTGTGTTTTGAATCACGCGTCCTCGCTGACGTCACGCTCTTTTGTGCTCCGTTTACCAAACTCGGTGCTTCCATCCGGCTAGCTTGCCTCCGAGATGATGTTATTCGGCCGGACGGTCACGGTTCAGGAAGCATATTCCCGTTTCGGCATGTGCGTATTACTCCTTTCTTTTTTCTACTCTCCTCCCGTTTAAGTATATTTCTCCACTTCTATCTATTGCAATGTCCTTTTGTGCAACGTTCCTATCTGAGACGATCTCCGAGCTAATAATTGGCTTTGATGCTTATCTGGCTTCCGTCTCGCTTTCCTTTGTCCCGACCATGCCATGGATACGTGAAACGAAATACGAAATCGGCTTATCGGATGGGCGGACGAATCACCATCGAAAGTGTTAACAAGATCGTACCGAAGGAGCAAGTAATACCAGGGGCTCTTAACTGGGCAAATGCGATCATCTGTGACTGCTCACCCTAGAGTACCAAGCGCGGAATAATCCTCGCTTGGCAGCACGGTGATGTCGATGAAGCTATGGTCAAACACGCGCTCTCCGCTGAGAGTGTGCGTCATTATGCTGGAGAGAACATAAAGGTATGTACATGTATGTTTCCGATTCTCAGAAGAGAACTCTCCGGAACTTGTGCTAAGTCGCATCATATGTCGATGTCGTCATTCCGGCAGAGGAAGAAGGACATACGGCCGGGATTATTTACAGTTTACATTGCTATTGATCCATGTTCCGTGCGTGATTGATCTTGCTGATTCTTTCTTGTGTTTGCTCTTTCTTGGAATATAGGAAGGCCTTAAAGCGTTCGTCGAGGTGAGTTTCCCCCGTGGCGTGTGAACTCCAAGAACTGTATTCTCATTGCTCTATCAACCTTATCATCAGAAATGCAAGCCTAAGTGGTCCAATCCCGCAAAGCTATAATCAACTCAGCCCTTTACACAAGTGAAGTGTGTACGGCCTACCCATTGAACCCTTTGAATACACCCGGATGTGCAGTACAAACCCTCATCGAGATAGCGATATGATGTGATATGATGTGACAGCCACAAAGCATGACATCTGCGTATCTTCCTCACTGAGCTGCCATGCGTGCTCCGCGTCTGTTGCCATGTAGGGTTCCGCGCGTATGCGTATAATACGACTTACATACGCATACGCGCGTATAAGTATGTGCGTATACGGACACACCAAGACCTCTATACAATACGGATACCCCGTATACGGCGTATACGAAAAATAATGTATTAAATAGACAAAATATAATATTTTTCTTCAAAACACTAACAGTAGCCTTCAATACTTGCTTGACAAAAATCATGTGACTAATAGTCATAACCTAGAGATGTACTCTATAGTATTGTATACAACTGAAAATAAATTCTACTGTAATAGTATAACTTATAATAGGTTGTATAAGTTATATAAGGGTGTAGAACAATAAAAAATATACTAGAAATATAGCAAATATTACAGACCCAAATTAGATTTTGAAATTAGTGTATAAGCTGTATAAGCTATATAAGCCATATACAGCAAATTTTTCATTTTGAAATACACATACACAAATAGAAATACATGTGTATATTTGGGACTTCTAGACTACATACAATCATGTGTATGTGTATAATACATAATACTGCAGATCCCTATTGCCATAATCATCTGGGCTAGCTTATGTAAGCTTTGGCTGTTTTGCACTTTTTAGTAAGTGTCTCAAGTTTCAAGATGAGCTGTATCTAGTATCTGATCAGACTTCTACATTGAATGTTATATTATCTTATCACTTATTCTTTAAATACTCACTATTATAATAGAAAATACAATCATATTTAATATAAACATACAAAACAAGTATAATATATGTAGACAGTAGATAAGTAAATAATAAGTAAATACTGTCAGTAATAGTATAGAGGGGACCTGAAGGCTCAGTAAGGGGACCCAGGCTACAACTATCCTACACAACAGAAATACAGAATACAAGTACTAGAACATAGTTAGAACTTACAGAACAAACATAAAGAGAGAGTAAGACAAGAGTAGAGTATATAGAGTAAGCCTAAGAGTACAGGACTACCTAGAGTAGATGAGATTAAGACTACAGGACCAGTCTGATCTTGTACACCTATATATACTAAACTACACAAGAGTACTTAGAGAGTATGAGCTACTAAGAATGAAAGAAAGGAAGGTCAAAGATAAAGATACAAAGAATAAAGGGATAGACAAAGGGTAAGAGATTATAGAATAAACAAAGAATGAAGGAGTAGTCAAAGAAACAGAATGATAAAGTAAGGAGGGGTAGTAGTAAGAGTTAGTACACATATAGTTTATAAACAGTACTCTTAAGAGACAGAAGTTCTAAGTTCTAGTATAGAAGAGTGTAGAACTCTTAGAACTGAAAGTGTAAGAGTAGAGAACTATAACATTACTCTCTCTCTAAAACCAATTGTTCTGATTGGTAAACATTGGACTTAGTTAATAGCTCAGGTATAGGTCAGAATAGTAAGGTTTAGAAATCTATAAAGTAGAGTTAGTACAGAGTACCTGAATAAAGTTGATAGAAGTCTTAAATTGTCTTAGTAGTATAGATGAGATTCTTAACAGGTTCCTAAGTGTGTTCTTCAACTAAGTATCCTTTCTAGTAAATAAGGAACTTAAGCTTTCTGTATACTAGCTTAGTATTTACTACATACTCTACTTTGTATTCTGGTTCAGAACTAATAAGTTCTAGTAAAGGTAGTAAGGGTCTTTATTGTAAAGGAAAACTCAGATTATAGTACTAAGACAACAGAACCTTGTTAAACACTAAGTGTATGTGTCTCTATATTGTTAGTGTTACAATTCTCCACTCTCTTACCTTCAGTTCTAAGGGTTCTGCACCCTTCTGTACCAGAACTCAGGACTTCTGTCCCTCAGAGGCACTGTCTATAGACTATATGTATGCTGACTCTTACTACTACCCTTCCTTACTTCATCATTCCATTCCTTTGACCACTCCTTCATTCTCTGTTCATTCTATAGTCTCTTACTCTTTGTCTATCCCTTTATTCTTTGTACCTTTATCTTTGACATTCCTTTCTTTCATTCTTTGTGGCTTATCATTCTTAGTAGCTCATACTCCCTGAGTACTCTTGTGTAGTTTAGTATATATAGGTGTACAAGATCAGACTAGTCCTGTAGTCTTGATCTTGTCTACTCCAGGTAGTCCTGTACTCTTAGGCTCATTCTATATACTCTACTCTTGTCTTACTCTCTCTCTCTGCCTGTTCTGTAAGTTCTGACTACATTCTAGTGCTTGCATTCCATATTTCTGTTGTGTAGGATAGTTGTAGCCTGGGTCCCCTTACTGAGCCTTTAGGTCCCCTCTACACTGTTACTGACATCAGATCAAGACTACCTATTACCACCCTACAACTCTCCTACATTTCAGGCATTAGTACTCACTGTTGTGTCAATCTCTTTCCTTTGTCCTGACCCTTTTACATTTTTAAATTTTAAACTTTCTAAACCCTTTTAAACTTTTACCACCCTTCTTCTATTCATTACCCCTTTTAGTTTAGTGTTGACTCCTTTGTAGTATAAACATGGACCCTACTATGCTGACTACTACCCCTACTGTCCTGCCAGATCAGTAGTTACAAGCAGAGCTAGCTCAATATGTACAGACCTCTATCTAAGAGGCCTTTACCAACCACATGCCCTTAGCCCCTTTAGAACCTGTTCCAATTGTTCCAGAAGTTGCAACCTGTTCTAGAAAGAAAGTGTATGTAGCCTACCCTTCAGACTTTAATAGGTAGCACTTTAAGGACTTCTAGCACCAAGTTGAACTATATGTGACTGCTACTTTAACTAATCTATCCTTAGATCTTGATTGTGTCCTATTTGTCCTCTCCTTCATGAAGGAAGGCAACACAGCCACCTGGGCCCAGAACTGGATTGAAGGTCATTGGATCAGAAGCCTGATCTGACTTTAGAACAATGAGTCATACTTAGAATTCATAAGGCAGCTCTGTACTTCCTTCATTAATCTGAATAAGAAGTACAATGTGTAGAACAAGCTTGTATCTCTATAACAGGGCAAACATTCTGCCAATGCCTTCTTTCAGGAATTCAATATCTTGGCCCAGAAGGCAGGATTCATACTCAGGTTTAATAATGTCCTCATCAGAATGCTTGAAAAAGCTCTTCACCTGGAACTGGTTGATAAGATTCTCAGAATGATACTAGAACTAGTCACCTATACTGAGTGGAAGACATACACTATCTCCTTCAACCAAGCTACAACTCAGATGTGTCAAGTCTGTACAGAATGCTTACACATGCATCCAGCTCTGACAGTTCTAAGCCCTCAAATCAATCTGCCTGTAATTTGTGATCAATCTGTTCTAATGAACATTAGAGAAGCCTAAAAGTAAGGAGCATACTTTGCCTACAGAAAGTCAGGGCACTAAATTAAGGACTGCCTACAGAAGCAACAGTATATTTGTCAGGTCATTAGAGTGATGATGAGTAACAAGTAGGATTTGTAGTAAGAAGCCTTTTCTACAAATCCAGAAGTCACCTCAGAACTCTCAGACCCTGACTATGTACTCTAGGATTTTGTAGAGGCCTAACAGTGAATGTAGTACTGAAGAGCTATGACTTGGATTTTTTAATGGCCACTTTTGATTCAATGGATACTGTAGGATTAGAAGTAAATAAAGTAAGAAAAGTAGAAAAAGCAGAAAAAGTAGAAAAAATAAACCAACAAAATTATTTATTAGAAAGAAAAAAGTTGAAAACAAAAGTAGATAGTTCTCCTATTTCTTCTGATTCTTTTGATTCTTCTCTTTGTACTTTATCTGAGTCTAAATCTACACAATCTGACCTACTACTTCTGTGTTCCAAGATCTCAGAACATTTGGAACATTACTCAGCCCTGTTTACTACTTAGTAGTTTGTCTGTAGTATCAAGCAGGGATGGCCTCAACTGAGTTCACAGCTAAGGACATGAGTCTGTCCTTGTCAAAAGAGAGAGGTTAATAAGGAAATGTTAGTACATATACTCACCCTCTTGGACAATAAGGCTGTGCAAGCTGTACATTCCCTTCAGAACAAGTAGTAGTTTATCTGAGAATGTTCTAGGCACTAGCTCCAGGTCCCTGTCCTCTTGGCTCCCTTCTCAGGATCCCTCCAGATTCAAACAACAGCTCTGGTAGACAGTGAATGTACTAGTTCATACATTAATAAGGCCTTTGTGTAGGAACACCACCTCCCTACTTAATACATTCTACTTCCAATCCTAGTATACAATGTAGACAGAACCCTGAACTAGAATGGTCAAATCACTAAGTTTGTCCAACTATGGATGACCATTCAGGATCACAAGGAAAGTATTGAGTTCAGAGTCACTAACCTTGGAAAGACAGATGTCTTCATTAGATTCAAATGGCTTAAGGCTCACAACCCTACTATTGACTAGTTAGAACAGATACTTGTGTTTGATTAGTGTCCCAAGTCTTACAGCTACCTTACACTACTGTTCCAAGTGGATGTAGACACTTCTAATATTACTAACAGTTCTAATAAAGGTGACTGGTTGTTCTTCTTTGACTAGGATAGATATGTGGATACATATTCTAGTCAAGGCAGAATAGAGTCAATCTGAAGGATGTCAGAGACAGAACCAGTCCAGAACCCTCTTGGAACAACTCTACTCTAGAATGTACACAGACCCAGCCTGCCAGATTTTGTCTGAGAGTTCCCTAAAGTCTTCAGTGAAGAGGAATTTGACCAGCTTCCTGAACACTGTCTCTAGAACTATACAATTGAATTGACTAAGAGTTTCCAACCTAAGGATTGTAAGGTCTACCTACTCAACAGAGACAAGTAGGAGGTGCTTGACAAGTTCCTTTAGGAAAATCTTTGGAACAGTCAGATCCAACCCTCAAAGTCCTCTATAGCCTCCCCTTTCTTCTTTGTCAAAAAGAAAGATGGGAAGCTCTACCTAGTCTAGGATTATTATTGTCTTAATGAGGGTACTGTCAAAAACAAGTACCTGCTCCCCCTGATTCAGGAGCTTATTGATAAGACAC